GAAGGGTACAAGAATGATTCAATTTGTCCTTGTGTATTTATAAAAAGATCTGGATCTAAATTTATTATAATCACCGTATATGTTAAATATCATTGAAACTCCTAGGGAGCTTCCTAAAGCAGTAGAGCTTCCTAAAGTAGTAGACTATTTAAAGAAAGAATTTGAAATGAAAGATCTTGGAAAGACAAAATTTTATCTTGGTCTACAAATTGAGTATATGAAAGATGAATTTTTTGTCCATCAATCAACATACACTAAAATAATTTTAAAACAACTTTATATGGATAAAGTACATCCATTCCAACCTCATGAAAATAATGAAGAGCTTCTTGGTCCCGACGTACCATATCTTAGTGCAATTGGTGCACTAATGTATCTTTCTAGCATTACAAGGTCTGACATAACTTTTTCAGTTAATGTCTTAACAAGATATAGCTCTACTCCTACAAGGAGACTTTGGAATGGAATCAAACACATATTGCGGTATCTAAAAGGGACTACCGGTATGGGATTAATTTATGGCAATGATTGCAGTCCTGATCTTGTTGGTTATGCCGATACTGGGTATTTATATGACCCACAAAAGATCTCAAACATGCTATATGTTTACATATGGAGGCACTGTTATATCTTGGCGATCGACTAAGCAATCAATCGTGGCTACTTCATCTAATCATGCTGAGATAATTGCTATTCATGAAGCAAGTCGAGAATGTGTATGGTTGAGGTCTATAATACACCTTATTCAATACAAATATGGTTTGAAGTGTAACAAACTACCCACAATTTTATATGAAGACAATGCAGCATGCATAGCCCAGTTGAAGGGAGGATTCATAAAAGGGGATAGGACAAAGCACATTTCACCAAAATTATTTTTCATACATGATCTTCAAAAGAATGGTGATATCAATGTGCAACAGATCCGTTCAAGTGATAATATGGTTGATTTGTTCACCAAATCTCTACCGACGTCAACCTTCAAGAAACTAGTGTACAAGATTGGGATGCGAAGGCTCAAGGATGTGAATTGATGCTCTCATCAGGGGGAGTTAATACGCGTTGTACTCTTTTTTCCTTACAAGGTTTTGTCCCACTGGGTTTTCCTTGCAAGGTTTTTAACGAGGCAACCAAAAGGCGTATTTCTAAACATGTGTACTCTTTTTCCTTCACTAGGATTTTTTTTCCCATAGGGTTTTTTCCTAATAAGATTTTAACGAGGCACATTATCTATGGACATCCAAGGGGGAGTGTTATAAGAAAAATCAAATTATGGTGGATGTCTACTCTTCCTCCATGATCTTCTCAAATGCTTAATGACATATTCAATGACATATTTTTATGCTTAATGACATATTCAGTGACATATTTTTCTTCACTTTTTATGCCTATATAAAGGTCTTGTAATAGATAGGAAAATACACACAATTGAAGAAGAAAATCTCTTCCTTCTCTCTATCTCCATTTCTTGTTCATATTTTACTAAATTGCTTTTATTTCATAACAACATGTCTTGTTCATGTTTTACTAAGTTGCTTTTATTTTATAACAGACTCGAAGGACTATAATATTTTTGAATTATCTCTAAAATTCGTATTGATTGAGAAATATACTCTTTTGAAGTCAAGACAAAATTTCATGCCCGAGAGGACATGGGGGTGCGACGCATGACCAACTCCCCATAGACAAATTTTTAGGTTTTGATATAAATAGCCTCATTTCGTAATTTTGGTTCATTTTCTCCCATCTTGGAGACTTGGGAGCTCGATTTTGAGGATTTTAGAGCAAGATTAAAATCTATGACATCGGGTTAAGTAATTCTAACTCGAATTTACGATTATATCATGAATCTATTATTGATTTTAACCTTAGAAGCATGAATTAAAACTGAATATTGGGGAAACTTTAGAGGTAACCTAGAAACACCTAAATAGAGATTTGAAAATGTAATTGGACTTATTTTGAAAATCTAGTATAGATTTGAAATCCTTAGCTTATGGGTCACCCGATTGTGAAGTTTATTTTGAATTTTGACTCGTTGACCTGAGGGCCAACTTTGTAATTGTACAAGAGTTGACTTTAATATTGAAGCTTTTTAAAATGATAGTACTAGCTCTCATAAACTAATTTGGACCCGTTATACATATTTTTGAATAGATTTAGGCCATTGAAAATTGTTTGAGCGGATTTGACGATTCAAGTGAAGGTTTCAAGTAAAGGTTGGATCAACAAGGTAAGTGATACTTAAACTTTTAATTTGCTTCCTTTTCCTTAAAAGCATGATATATGTGTTACTTGTATGTAATTGAACTATCTAGTTCATGTGTGTGGGAAAGCATTGAGCTAGGTTGGCTAGTTTAGAAGTATCTAGAGTAGACAGTGAGGGTCCTAGCATGTGCTTTCTCATTATTTGATACTTCTAGTAGTTTCTTGACATGTTTGAGACATTTGTCAGCTGTTTAGCATAATTTATTACTTAGTTAGCTTCCAGCAGATATTTTATTACTTTGTGATACTTGTTTAGCTATTAAGTATACTTTATTACTCAGTCAGCTTTTAGTATACGTGTTTACTTCTTTGTGATACTTGATTAACTGCTTAGCATACATTATCACACAGCTAGCATCATATTTAGCTCGGGAATAATAATTTCTTTGAGCTAGTAGCATTTCATATAGCTCGGGTATGATGATGCTCTTGAGCTAGCAATTCTACTTACCGAGTAAAATCGGAGACTGGTGCACCATGCCAGGCAGGTTAGACATGCAATTCACTCTCCAAATATGGGTAGAATTATGTTCCGTTGGCGGTTTTAGTTACTGGGTAAGATGGGGGATTGGTGCACCACGCCTAACGGGTTATAGCCTGTTTGGCCAAGGTTTTTTTTTCGCCAAAAGTGATTTTGTTTTTTTTGGTCGAAAGTGCTTTTTTCGAACTTAAGATGTTTGGCCAGGCTTTTTGAAGAAAAAATTACTTTTCAGTAGAAGTAGAAAAAAGTAACTTCTCCCCGGAAGCACTTTTTTGAAAAACACTTTTGAGAAAAATACATTTAGAAACACTTTTTAAAAGCTTGGCCAAACACTAATTGCTGCTCAAAAGTGTTTTTCAAATTGATTAGACAAACACAAACTGCTTCTCACTAAAAGTATTTTTTTGAAAAGAACTTTTTAAAAAAAGCACTTTTCAAAATAAGCAGATTTTAAAAGTTTGGCCAAACAGGCTATTAGATATACAATACGCGCTCCGATGAGTTATGTCCCTATAGCAGTTCTACCAGTGCACCAACATGTAGTTTCATCATATTCACTTTCACTATTTGTATCCATAATCTTAGATCCAGTTGCCTTGTATATTATTTTTATACTTGTACTACTTTATATCAAGTATTAATGCACTTCCAGCGATTTCTACAGACTTATTCCAGGGGTAAGCTAAGAAAACGAGTCGATGATCTTGTCTTTTAGACTTACAGTTACTCTAGCTTTTCTCTAGTCTTTCCAGTTGAGGTGAGCCACCAGCCCACCACTAGTTCCTGGAGGCAACTCTATCTTCTAGTAGACTTGGAACATTCTTTATTTTGAGCAGCAACTCGTATTAGTTGTATTCAGATTTAGTAGCTCCATGACTTAGTCTTTTCAGTGAATTAATGGGATGTTGTTTAAATTTTTAATTATGCTTCCGCGCTTTATCTGTATTAGACAGTTGAATAGTATTTCTCTTTATCTTTTCGATGTTTCCGCTTGTTCTAGCTTAGAGGGTTCGCCCGATGGGTAGTGGCTCGTTGGATGCCCTATCACGACTTAAATGCCAATTTGGATCGTGATAAAGTTAGGAAATTTTTTATTTTATATGCTTGATTTTAGTGTTTTTTGGTTAAAAATACGAAACCATTCAGTTAAGGGACAGCTATCTTAATGTGTTAATATTATGTTATTTAAGTTGATATTGTATCGAGTGTAACAGCTCAAAGTTTGGCCTTAGATTCACATGTAAAGTCATATTTTTTCTTCATATTTCTGTCTAAATTGAAACTTTAGCAATCAATGGCATCAAGCCGTTGCTTCGTGCCAATGCTTCCCAATTAGAAACCTCACCTATGGAAGATACTGCTTTTACCAAACCTTTGAGATGCACACATTAGAAGATGGAAGGAAAGAAAAACAGATTTGACTAATGGAACTCCTGTCGTCGGAGACACCGGATCAACAATATCCTTCAACTTATTAGGACTCTATATAAGTAACAGAGTTTATAGACTTCAAGTAGAAGCAAAAACAAAAACAAGATAGAATTCTTCATCAAGGGTTGACTCATATCCTACTGGTGAAACTAGATACCACCCTACGCCTACAGATACAAATTTGATTGTCATCAAGCCCTTGCTTTTCCTTTCTCCTACTGCGCGAACCTCAACAACCCCCAAAAAACACATTTATAAGAAAAAGAACTTTTTCTGATGCAAGATTTACCATAATAAAAAATAAAATAAAATAAAATAACTGAAAACAAATTAAGGCCGACTTGTTGAATAGGTTGGGAGTACAACCGGGTTAACCATGTTGGCAGTGCGATCAGGGTGCTTGTTGGATGCCAATCCAGCATTCGAGGTGTCACTAATTATCAAAAGACATTTCTTTCTTCTCATCTAATTAAATTAGTTTGCTCAACTGGTCACTGAAAACCGAAATGTTCTCATAATACCTTTATACCCTTGCAATAGAATTACAAAATTATTCCTCTACAAGAGACCACAACAGATTGGCACTGATCAAAGAGTAATGACTAATTCATATACAGCTGAAAAACTATAGTTAAGTTACAACAATTAAATAAACTAATGCGTAAAGTTACAACAATCAAATAAGCTAATATATTAAACCTATAAAATGTTACTACAAACCACTTAATGTTGTAGGCTTCTTCTTCAGGTACTCAAACAACTTGATAAGAGCGAAAATTTTCTAGCCCATTTATCCATATAGCCACCTCTGAGTGCCTTCATTATCTTCACTTACAGTAACAAACTTTGTTGAGGCAGAGAAGCAACCTGCTCAAGACATAATGTTTGATCTCCGATAGCCTCTTGAATCTTAGAGACTGCTCAATTCATGTTCAAAATAAGCTGTTGAAACCTCTCCTTGTAAAACTGCAGAAATTGCCTGAAGGTTCGGCTAAAGTCACTTTCTTGTGGACAGTTCTTGGATCGAGCGGAAGCATGACACTCTATTTTATACACACAAGAATCAAGCCAATGGGATCACAGAAATGGTTGCAGGATTCCTGCTAGTTGCAACACATCTGAACCTCACTTACAGCCCTCTTATTTTACAATCCGGTCAACCATTCTAGTTTAGTGATGCACTCATCAGGTGACAATCCATGGCCCAACTTTGCACTCATGGAGCTTTCTTCTTTATGAGCCTAATTTGAACCTGATACCTCTAAACCAGGGTAAAAATAGTCACCACCATGATCAGGTTGTGGCAAGCAGCAGTGTATTTGAACTTGCACAAGTGAGACAGCGTATGGAGGTTGATCAACTGGAAGCTTCAAGCTTGCCTTTTAATGGTCCACACTACCAACTCTAAAAGAAAATGTCTGCTGTCCATCCTCAACGACGCTTTGATCTCCTGCGTTTACCAAGAAGTTTCAGCATGTTGTCGGTGACATCAGGCGGAGATTTATCATCTTCATCATGATTCTTCTCAGAAGTTTGAGTTAACCATGCTAGTGCCTCTATTGCAGCATCCTTTTCTGCAAGAGCTTTGTTTCTCTTTGGTTTACCTACAAATTGCATTCCCTTGAACTCTACAAGTGCCCTAAATTCATTTGTTTTTAGATGCTTTGTTTTGTACTTGGGAGGGGAGTGACCTGCCCTCATCATTAGGGTTTGCAGCAAACTCTTTGGGTTTGTCCCATCCCTTGTAAATCTATCAGTGTCTTTAGAATCTTTAGGCCTCTTGTTTTCACGACCAAACACAAACTTTCCCTCACACTGATCTCCTGAAACCAGTTCCTGAACAGCAAGCATAAGGTATTTGCCTTCCTTGTGGATGTCAACCTCAGGATCTTGAAGCTGCATCATCCAAGAATCAGTGAAACTCTTTTTCTTTTTAACAAGTAATCCAAAAACTAGTTAATAGCAGAGGCTCCAAAAACTCCAGGACTATTATCAAAGAAAAACATGGGATTGTCATACTGAACCTTCGAGGAATGGAATTTTGCTACTTCCATACTGCTGAGGATGACATACAAGGCTGAGAAATTTGAAGTGTACTAAAAGCCTTATTGGCAAATGGCTTTTCAATGGAGAAAGACTAAGGAGTAGAGGTACGGTCAGACAGATGTTAACTTAAACAGCAGAAGCGTCCTATGGTGAGACATTAATATGTCTAGGAGGAATTCTGACGTGTTAATAATCAAACATCAAACATATTTGCTCCAGAAACTACTTTGCGGATGAGCTTTTCTGTCTGACTTCCCAGATCTTTATATCAGTACACCATGGATAAGCACGTTTTATTAGAAAATTTAAGGAAATGGGAGGATCATCCTACTGAAAACATGGTCCTGAAGCTCCACGTCATACCTGCTGGAAGAAGTATTAATTCTTTATCCCTGATATGACCAAAATTATTCTCTTGCTTGTAGGTAAAATATTAATGACAATGGCCTTTCTTGTCCTTTAACACTTTGTACAGTCTTGTATTGGTGAATTAGAAGTGCAGAAGGGAAAGAAAAGGAATGTTTGGATGATCCAGAGCTCTAATTTCAAATTTCTGTCGACTCATCCCCTCATTTGGAATTACCTCACCTTCAGGAAGCATAGGAGCAGGGTTTGTATTAGCTTCGGCATTTGTTTTCGACATTGAGAAAATGCAATAAGGATCAATTGGAAAGAAAGATCACAGCCAGTGAGTCTTTTTATTCCTTTAATTGTGGATGTAATTCCAAATCACTTTTCTAGACTTCAAATACACAAAAGGAAAACGTCTCTAACTTTCAGGTCCTAGATTTTTTATTTTAGTATTTTGATAACTAAAAAACCCCCAAGGGCCAATGGCGCACGGGTCAAAACTCGGGGTAATGTGCTCACCCCTCTAGCTTTCTTCACTTAAAAACCAGACTTTTGTCTGCGGCAGGGTTCGAACCCGTAACGTGTGCCTAACCCACATATCAGGCATTGCACTCTTACCCCTAGATCAAAGCCATGGGGGCAACTTTCTGGTCCTAAAATTCAGACTCACATATAAAGCATTGCACTCTTACCCCTAGATCAGTGTTGACCACCTCCCAGGAATGAGTGAAAAAGCCATGGAGGAGCCAACAGGGCCAGGAGCTTTGTCACTAGCACATGCTTGAACACTGCTCCAAATTTCTTGAGCTTCAAAATGGACTTTTGTAGCATATGATTTTCTCCTGCGGTGATTGTGGGGCATACTCCGAGGTTGCCTTGAGGTCTCCTGTAACGACCTGACTGGTCGTTTTGAGTTCTCGCATTCCGTTCTGTGATTTGAGACTTTGGGTAGCTTCATATGATGTATTATAACTTGCGAGTATGGTTGGTTTTGATTTCCGAGACGTTCGGGAGTGATTTAGAAGAGTAATTCTTATTATGGAAGCTTTAAGTTGGAAGAGTTGCCCAAGGTCTGTCTTTTGGGTAAACGGACTCGGAATCGGATTTTGATGGTTCCGATATGTTCGTATGATGATTTTGCACTTGTACATATATGTTCGGATTTAGTTTCGGAGGTTCCTAGAAGAATTCGACACTATTTATCGAAATTTGGCAATTTGAAGAACTTAAGAGTTCATAAGTTAGACCAATAGTTGACTTTGATGATATTGGACTCCGATTGATGTTCTGGGATTTTGGATAGGTCCATATAGTTGAATTGAATTTGTGTGCTAAGTTTGGAAGTAATCCGAAGTGTCTAAATGTGATACGGACACTCTTTTGAAAGAATGAAGATTTAACTTAAAATAAATTCTATTCGGTTTGTGCCTCGATTCTTTATTGTGATGTTCCCTTGGGTGTTTTGAGCCTTTGGACAAGTCTAAATAAAGTATTTGGACTTGTAGGAATGATTGGATAGTGTCACGAGGGGCTCGAGTAAATTTCGACGCATTTGGAGCAAGTTTTGAAAGACTTGAAATGCTAAAACTGCAATTTTCTGCACTTAACCTGATTTTGCAAGAGATCTGTTCAAAATCTATAAAGAATTGGGTGAAGATGCCTTGATGAAAGTTGTAGCCCTTTGAATCTAGTTTCCAGAAACTCAAAACGTTCATCATTACGACATCTGTACAAAAAGTTATAACTGTTTTAGTGAAGGAGGGGCAATACTGTCATTTTTTAGAAAAATTCTGCACTTGTATATTTAAACTCATTTAGTACTTGAACTTCATTTTGGGAGCTAGAGAGCTTGGACTGAGGTGATTTGTTTAACTTCCTTAGATGATGTTTCGCTAGATTTGAGCTGGTTGGAGGTGATTTCAAAAGGAAAACGATTTTGGAAGATTGATCTGACTTTCAAAAGGTAAGTGTCTTGCCTAGCTTTGGTTTGAGAGAATTTTTCCTAATAAATAATATTGTTTGTTACATGTAGGGGTGATGTATATGCGAGGAGACAAGCATATACGCATGTGCCATGGTTATTCATGCTCGGAGTAGAATCTAGATTACTAAGCCTTGTTTGATTGTGTGTTCTATCTGTTTTATGTTTTACTCGATTGAATGACTACGTGAGCAAAATAAGCCATGCTAGAGATAATGTATAGGTTAATGATACCTTATTTTGGGAATGATGAGCTATTCTTGAGATTGTTGATGTACTTGATTTGGCCGTATGACTACGTATATTATGAGCACATATTCGTACTTGTTATTCTTGTGATATGTCTTAAACTGTTGTATGACTACTTGAGTTCCCTTATTCATATTAGAGATAATATTTAGACCTTTGATGCTTAATTGGACATAATGATCATTTGGTGAATAGATTACATGTTGGAGTTGTAGTCATACAGTATATACATGCATATATCATGCATAGAGATCATCTTTTATTCATATGCACACACCCATGCATATGGTTCTATGATATATACTGAGGTTATGGCATGTGAGTTGTCCGTGCAGTTGAGATGATTGTGGCACGAGGTTTCTACTGTGCGGTTATTAGTGATATTATTATTATTGTGGCACAAGGTTTCTACCGTGCAGCGTGGACTAGGTAGTATTTGGGTCGTGACAAGTTGGTATCAGAGCTCTAGATTCATAGGTTCTACGAGTCATGAGCAAATGTCTAGTAGGTTCTTGTGGATCGGTATAATGCCATCTATATTTATCTTCAAGAGGCTACAGAGCATCTAGGAAACTTCCCTTTCTTTCTTTCCTTATCACTTTATTTCAGCTAGAAGCCTATATCTTCCATTTCTTTCCAATCATTTGCATGTGATGTCGAGTACTCGGTATCAATTGTGCACTGACAACTGGTGATGTCGTGGATGGGGTACGAGATGTTTTTCTGTGTTGTAAGGTAGGTCAGTCTAAAGGACTTGAGGCCAGGTTTAGGTCGCAACTTTGGCTCGGCAGATTCAGTTGTGTAAGTATGTGATTTTGGACTCTTACGTCCGGTTGTGTCCCTAGAGGTGGGTTTGATGGCTCAGTGAGTGGCAAGATAGCTATATGATGAGTATTATGTGACTGAAGACTACGCTCAGATAGTTTGGATGTGACGAGAAGGATTTGCTTAGAATGCATAATTGAATATGGATGTTTGATTATATCTTGATGTACAATACAGTCTTGAGTTGTAAGTGTGTTGAGTTGTTCATTTGTAGAATGAAGTAGATTCTTATATCCTGTTGATGAGTGTAGCCTCGGAAGGATCAATTGATTGCATAGTGGTTGTAACCATGGTAAGGTCATATGAAGATGTCGAATTGAGGTTAAACAGGTGGGTTATCTCCTGTGAGAAAGTTATGAAGAGTTTTCCTTCTATCCAGTGGAATACATGTACCACAATTAGAGTTCGGATCGCTTGAGGAAGTTGGCACGACCGTCACGAGGATAAGTAAGCATTGGCACATAATATGGAATGTGTTATGACTGGTGCTACATGAGCTTATGAGGAATTCTGAACAAGAGTGCGAGATCACAGTAGTTAAGGAGAAAGGTTATTGTGGATTATCGGATGATGTGATTATGGCTTCAAGCCTAGTGGGAGAGTCTATCACCGACGATTGGATCATATGGGCATGTGGTGTTATAGTTCCTAGACTGAGGTATGCGTGTGGATTAGTTGTGACATAAGAGGATGACATCAAGGATGATTTGGACAAGGAATTTGCTGGATGCATGATGTACTATACATTATTGATATATAGAGATTGTGGAATGCGTCAGGTGTGATATTCGTTGTGGATGTAGCATGCAAGGGGAGAGGATTTACTCAATTGCCTAAGGATGAGGTTGCTTCTTAGAGTATTTATGCGCTAACAGAGCACAAGTCGTTCGATGCGTATTGACTATGCATCGGGGATTCGAGCAAAGTGGATGACTCGCGAGAATGGTTCTAGTAGGTTTAAGTTCCAGAATGTGGTACTTAAGGATTTGCCGAATTTCGTTGTGTGGCTAAAGTTTGAGATCTGCATTGGATTGCGCCCGAGACTTGCAGTATTTCTATATCATTATTGATTCCACATTGCAGTATTAGGGAGATGAAAGGAACAGCTTCAGATTCATTAAAGGACTTCTTAAATCAAACATTTCAGTTTGAGGTACTTTTGGGAGCATGAAAAAGGAATAAAGTGGCCTACGAATCTAAAGATGACGTGGTTTCGTGTTGGTCGCCTAGTATGAGTGTAGGCATTTGAATCTAGTTTCTAGTAATTCAAGCTGTTCATCATTACGACATTTGTACAAAAAGTTATGACTGTTTTAGCGAAGGAGGCGCAATACTGTCATTTCTGAGAAAACTTTTTGCACTTGTATATTTAACCCCATTAAGTACTTGGACTTCATTTTTATCATTTTGGGAGCTAGAGACTTGGATTCAGGTAATATTTTAG